CCGTATTCAGCAGTTGTGAGTCGAGGCTCAGTTCGCTGTTTGCAGCTGGCTAAAACCCAAGTGGGATGCAATCAATATGCAAGCAGTTGTCCCCTAAAAATGAAACAAAAACAAAAGCGAAAACGAAACAAAATAATTTACGATCGCACTCATACATAATCATAAATATCTCATTTGTGATGCAGATCGTGTATTCGGCACACGTTTAGCGCATTTCAAGAAGGCTTCGCGTTAAGCTCGGAATTGACACGCGTCTTCCACATTATCATCATCACGATGATGATGATGGCGATGGCGATGATGATCGACTCGATGATGTAGAGTGTGTCAAGTGACAAATATCGCACAGGCGCCAATGCAATTTATTGCCTTGAGGGAATTATTTTTTAATGTCATGGAAGAACCACAAATATATTATGAATATAAATAATAATTTAATAAAATGATATAATGATGTTATTATTATTTATATTAATTATTTTTATCATTGTTTGTATTCTTATTCTTATCGTTTTTATTTATTTTATTTATTGTTTCTTATAATTATTATTTTTATATTACATTTTATTATTAATTCTATTTTATATTTATTTTATTTTTAAATAATTAAGTAGACTTGTTTTTTATATTCACATTTATTTGTGTTCAAATATTTTTTGATTCTTATTTCTTTGTTTAAAAATTCATAAATAAAGCACAAATAAATTTATAAATAAAAATCAGAAATGATTTTTTTTTTTATTTTTTATTATCTAAAACTTAAGAAAAAATCTTTTTTCTCTCATACCTTATTAAAAATCTATATTTATCAAACTGATATACATGCACATAGTATATAGCAATTGATATGCCCAAAATATTGAAGGCTTAGAGCAATTTACCGCCTGGCATTGCCCCATTGTCCGCAAATGTTCTTTGTGGTTAAGAGCCCTTATCGCTTATCGCTTAGAGTTGGCCTTATCGGGCGGCACACATGGCCAGCGATATTCCCAGACCGAAATTCGCTTATTTATTTACATACATACTGGGCGTGTGCGTTCGTGTTCCATGCGGTTTTGGCCGTCGCGAAGTTCCATGCGACATAGAGCATAAGTCGTGTGAGAATAGAGACGTTAGGGCTCCGATAAGCGTTATCTCCGGCCGCAAATGTTGCCCATTATCATCGGGCAGCCGACGCAGTAGCAGCAACATATCAGCATATGTGCATACATATACATATATCTATAGACATGTATTTCAATACAAACATATGCAAAGTACACCCAACGCCCTATTCAAAATTTGTGTGTTTTCCTTTGTCTATCGGGCTTGAAAAGAAAATCACATTGTCAAATTGTCAACAACAAGAACAACAACAGCAATCATAATAACGCCAAATTTAGTTTTTGGGTTTTTCAAGTTTACAATTTCAGTGGAAAGATGATATGAGGTCAACATATCAGCATTTGCATTTGATTTCAAACCCAAATATTATTTTGTGGGCAGTCAATACAAACAACAAGCCAAACTGGGCCGCTGATAAGCCAAAGATTAGTCAATTATTTATATTTGGCATAAATATAGAAATAATCAACAAAGGATTGTATGCACAAAGTACAGTACTCTCTCTCTCTCTCTCTCTCTCTCTTGCTTTTTAATAATAGACACAATAAAAGCAAAGATCATTCGATCACATGTCCGTCGAGTGAAACATCAGTTGGCCCACTGGGCCATCAGCTGGAATTAAATGTGTCATAAACACTGCATAAATATGTTGGCATTAAGACGTAAAGCACAGAAATCCCAACGTTCAGAGTAAAAATCCCAGCATGAGCTCAGAATCGAGCCGAAACGAAAGAGGAAGTGGGTTGGCTGGGCGGGGGGTGGCGTTTGTTTCGTCATCATCAACGAAACGTGAACTGAGCGTCCGCATTCGCGTCGGCTTGCTCATGATGATCGTGATGATGATCTTCGTTATTGTCAGCGGCCGGCGCGTCATAAACAACAAAAATATTTCTCTTAAGTCAAAGTTAATTGCTCTTAAATCAAAGTGAACAACGCGATCGGCGAATACTTCCAGCACGCGGCCTTTGTGTGTTCCGCTGTGCTGCGCTGCCTGCCTGCACACGGACAGAACCTGGCTTTGAGCCGGGTAAACAACAAAGAGCAAGAGAACGGCCCGTTAAAGTCAGGCAGTGGACAGACAACAGGTAAACATTATATAAACCAAGTTGAATGCAGCTACCTGCGGGCGGTTGCTCAGTGCAAGCGGCAAACAAAAGTCACAAACACACACACACATATGCAATATCTATCGTTTTCTTCTATTTGTGCTTACGTAAAAGCTTGAGTGAATTTAATTTTTTTGCCCATTCGAGTTGCACTCGAAGAGAGCGCGCGACGGCGCAGTGAGAGAGTGCGAATCGGTTCAGAGGAACTGGCGTTGGGCCGAGTGCGAATGCGAGTGCAATTGTTGCCGAGTACACGAACACAACGATAGATACACGAAAACGCCTTCACTGTGGGATACATAAACAAACGGCACTATACAAGCGGCTGTCGGCGGCCAAATGCGAAAAGCCAGCACAAAGCATAGAAACAAAAACAAACGTCACAACATCGAGAGCAACCAAAGAGAGCAACACCGCAAGAGAGCCGCCACCGAGTGCCGAACTCAACGAACGTCGCCGAAGCAACGCGAAATGCCCACCCGAAGCACTATTAGCGGACCCGGCAACGACCAGCGAGCACCGTACAGAATCATTCTTGAATGCGCGCGCGAACCGTTCGCATCAGTCCAAGAGCAAGCAGCATAAACAAATCAACAACGAGAACACAGTAAACCCAAGAAATAAAATTTATACCACAATAACAACAACAGCAAATAAAAGGGACAACAAAGTCCAAACCAAAACTCCACTACGGAAGGCCAACAAAAATTTTCGAAAGCGTGTGAAACTCGAAGTCGAGCGAGTGAAACAAAAGTGCAAGTGAAATTTCCGTGTGTGTTTTGACCAAGTTCAAAGTGTGAAAGAAGCAGCGAAAAAAAGATACAAATAAAAATAAAATAAAGAGAAGCTAAATCACTAATAAAAGAAGCACACGAAATTAAGAACGAGGCCTAGTAGCCCAAATTCAGCAGGCGAGACATTGGCGAGAGCAAGAAGAAAAATAAAAATAAAAAATAAAATAACAACCAAATATTTAAATAATTAAAAATAAACTCAACGACGACGTCAACGAATTCTTCACTGCCGCAACGCTGCCTGCGTGTGCGTGTGTATAGCTCACTCTCCCCTCTCTCTCTCGCTCTCTCTGCGTGTGTGCGTGTATGTGTGTGTGTGTGCGAGTGCCTATGTGTGTTTCGCCTTGTATCTGTAAGATACGCGCCCCGTTGACGCATTTTGCCCCGACATAACGCTGCTGACGTCGCCGGCCGGCGTTTTGTGCCCAATTAAAGCAACAACAAGAACAGCAACCGAATCGCTCCATTTGGCATTCAAAAAATATTAAATACAACAACAACAAAATTGCAATTACAATTAGAGAGAGTGACAAATTTAATACATTTGAATATCTAATCTGTCAGATAGTCAGATACAGGTGCGCGATATATGCATATTTGTATATGTATATGTATTTGCGTGTGTGTGTTTTTAGCTAAATATTTAATATTTATAGTGCTGGCACTGCAGTTGCAACAGGGGCCAAACGGGCACAGAGCAAAGTTTATAAATAAATTCACAAAGCATACGAATTAAATAAAATACAATTACGACAAATATTTGAAATAACGTTTAATACAGATGTTTGTCATAATCAATTGCTAAAAACAGCCCAAAGAGAATTGTGTAAAATTCACAATTTCTGAAGGTTGCCGCGACAACAAAACAAAAAAAAAAACAACATTTATATATATACACACACATATATATATAGATATAGAAAAGGTGATTACATAAAGATACAAATACTAAATGCAATGTGCAAATGTGAAAGGCGTCAAGCGAAAAGAGAATAGCGAAATGTACATACATATACACTTATATATGTACATATATTTAATGAGCGTACAAATTTGCTATTCTTTTTTTGGGGCGTGCCCGACCCGTTTAGCTGCCCTCGACTCTTGGCCAAATTCTCAAGGTCAAGGCGCATTCCCCCACACAGTGCCCAAAAGCCAGGTGAAACGGCAGAATCGAAAGCCAGGGTGCACGCAATTGGCAACTGGGCACGATTTATGCATATATCCAACCATATGGGGTTGCCAGATTGTTGTAAATGTGATTTAAGGGAGAACTCTGAAAGCTCTATTACAAAGTTTCTTAGCGGTAAATGTGAATGGGGTCAAGTATGTTTGCCAGTTTTGGATATCTAAAACTATAAAATTGTTAAAATTAGTAAAGAATTTTAAAGTAAAAACAAAATTTTGAGGCGCATGCTAAAACTTGTAGAATTTTTTCTAAACATCAAGAAATAAAGAAAAAATTTTAATAAACATTAAACAATTTTTTTTTTAATTTTTTTTAGTAAATGAAATCTAAGCATAGGAAATTTATATATGTATAGTAATAATACAATATAAAATGGAAAATCCATTTTTTAAATAATTAAAAAAAGTTTCCTGTATACTTATCTATCTAACAATTACAGTTTCTAAATTTCTCGGAAAATTTCAGATGGAATTGATAATAGTTAACTTCTGTTTAGGTTTTGCGTGACAATAGCTTAAATTGTTTCTGGGAATACGTGTTTTTTTTTTTTTTCATCGATATTGAGCCACAATAAATTCACATATTTCATTTGCAATTCATTTTTAATTGCCATTAAATAATTATAAACTAAAGCAAACAACAAAAGAGAAGACAATTAAAATTTTGATGAGAAATACTAATAAATGATTCACAATTTGAGGCTTTTTGACTTTGTGCCGAGCAGGCGATGCCATAGGAAACTACTTGGAAAATCGTTAGCTGTTCAGAGATTTGAACTAACGAACTGCTTGTATTTTCCTTTTGCAGGAACCCATTGAGCTGAAGAAGCGTTTGGAGGAGGTGCGTCTGCTGGAGTCTCGGCGCTCCGCTCGTCTGGCCGATCAGGATCGGGACACGGACTTCGCTCGACTGGCCGACATGGGAGGCGATCGTCGCCGTACCACACACAGTATTGAGGTGCCATTGACGCAGACGCCGCCGAACAAGTGAGTAGCACGACTTTGCACATACCCTCTTCTAGTACAATAGGCAATGGGGTATGCTGTCCCCCCTTCGCCCACCCATGTGCTGTGCATAAAAATGCAACTGTGGCGTTCGTTTCGAGTCTATGCTATATCAATAATTCATAAGCGGCGACAAATTAGCGGAACAGAGCGACAAGTCACGGACAGATACAGTCTGTGCTCTATGTATGTATGTATGTATGTATGTATGTATGTATGTATGCACACATGTGTCTGTATATATACTGCATAGAATCGTAGTTTTGTTATTGTCTTATCTAAGCTCAGCCGGCTAGACACCGCCTGGCTATTTAGCATAGACGCCGTTCCTCGCTGCAATTATATTATATAAAGTGCCCACTGCCCAATTGGCCCCGCTTGCCCTCCCTCGCTCTCTGTCTCTCTCTCTCTCTCTCTCTCTATCTCTGTCTCAGTCTCTAGCTATCTCTCTATTCGCAGTGACTACGTCGTTTTGCCAGCGACGTCGACTGATTGCAAAATAATTCAAATTTTCAATTACTGACCGCTCAGACGCGACGACGACGACGTCCAGTTCCATGTCGTTGTCGTTGTCGTTGTCTATGTCTATGTCGTTGTCGTAGTTGTTTTCATAGTTGTTGTCGAAGTCGAAGTCGAAGACGCGACAATAACACTTGATTACGACGTCAAATAGTCGCGCGATATCTGGTCTGCTTCTGGGTGTTATAGCCGCACTATGTCAGTGCCAAGCTCTGCGCTAGGCTAGCCTGAGATTCCTCAGTATTTTCAATAGCCCCGTAGAGCCAAAGGAGACCAAAGAAACCGGTTCAAGTTCGCCCCAGACAAACTTTAGCATATGCAGCTGTGCTCATAGCCATCGTAGTGCTGCAGTACACTAAACTTAAAATAAGCGAAGCAAGTGTTAAGTAAGAAATATGATATCATGTTTCCAATATTAATATAATATTTGATATTTTGTTATAAAAGAAAAAAAGATATAATTTGGAACATTTTTTCATATCTAGGGCATATTGTTTAGTAAAATAGATGTAGATTTTTATTTTTTATTATATTAATATATATTTATATTAATCATATATTTTATATATTAAATTTTGCCAGTATTCAATAAGTTTTATATGCTTATCTTATGAAACTGATTGATATAATTTGAAATTTATGAATTTTTATTCATATGCTCAAAAAACCAATGGAGGAATCTTGATAAATAATTAAAATGTTAAGCAATAATTCTACATGCATAGAGCCTATCAAATATGTTAATATGATTTTAATTTTGAGAAAATATTTATTTGTTTTTAGTCCATACCAAAATTCTTTTATTATATTTGACAGTAGATTGAGGGATCTCTAACCTAACGAGAAATATTTTTGAACATTCTATCATAAGACTGAAAGTAAAAATAATACTGTACTGTACTTCTCCAGTTAATTGCTCACCTTATGTTCATTATAAATTATATATAGAATAAAATTAGAATTCTTTAGCATTGCTATGGGTATTAAATTCATGTCTTGTCTATCGGCAATGCCACACAAAAAATGTTTTAATTCATTGAGCAATGGAGAGCATTTGGCATTCGCTTTGCAATTAGTTGTTATTATTTGTCTGATTGTTGTGGCGTATTCCATTTCAATTTCAATTGATAAGCTTCGCGCGAGCCGCCTGGCAAACTATTAGTCAAGTGTGCAAAAACAACAGAACGAACACAGCGACAAGTGAAAAAATGAATAGAGCGTAAACAAAATAAAAAATAAAATAAAAATAAGGAAAGAAACAACGAAAAGGAAAACAAAATGCCGACGACGTTCTCAATTGATAATAAAAGTAATACCAATAATAATAATCAAAAACGAAAGGAAAGAGAAGAAAGAGCAAACGTCTTGTCATGCTCTCACTGAAACTGGGCTGCGTCTGTGGCTGGAAACTCGGGCAGGGACTCAGGCCACTCAATTGCGTCGTAATCAACAAAACTAAAACTAAAACTGGCGAAAAAAGAACAACAAGAAGAAAACTAAACAATAACAAGAACAGCAACAACAACGCTAATATAAACTGCAATGCGCCAAGAGCAGCAGCCGACAATGTCTGTAATAAAATTCAAATAAAATTCAATTGAGTTCAACGCGAGGCGCTGCGCCAGTTTAATTTAATTACTTACAATGCACGCGTGCGACAGAGACAGCGCTACTGGGCAAAGAGAGTGTGCGAGTGTGCGAGCGCGAGAGCGAGGGGTTAGCCCTACGCGCTGGCTGCTGTGCGACATGTGCGAGCGAGATAGCGCGGGTGACTTTTTGCCGGCCGCATTTATCTTACATGCTCTCAACGCACATGCTGCTGCTGCTGCTGCTGCTGCTGCTGCTGCTGCTGCTGCTGCTGCTGCTGCTGCTGCTGCTGCCGTCCAGTTGGTGTTGTTATTGTTTCATTGGATTCGAGCTCGAATGCGGAAGTGTTTATACGCAAATACCCATACACACACACACACATACACATAGGCACGCTCTAGTTATGTGGAGGCTATGGATTCTATCTATTGGTCGTCGCCATTTGTCGTCTTCATGTTTTGATATGCGCAGCGCTGCTCTGCTCCCCCCTTCTCGCTCTGTCTCTCTCACTCGCGCGCGCCTATTATAATGTACTCGTGTAATGATAAAAAAAAAAAAAAAAAAACTACACAGCTGAAAGAAACCCGCTCACCTTGCACAGACACACACACACTAATAGAGACGATTGCCACGCGTGTTCCAACACGTAATACGACGTAATAAAGCTGCCGCGATCATCTCCTCTCTCCCTCGCTCCACCCCCTTCAAGTGCTGCTAATCTAAAATGTGATTTTCTCGCTTACGTACGCGTGTTTTTTTTATTTTTATTATTGTTGAATTCTGTTAAGTTGTTATTGTTGGGTTGTTTTCCTCTTCTTCTGGCTGTTGTTGTTCGTCACTTTTCATATTTTTATTAATTTACATCGCATTGTGTTGTTGCGTCTGAGCAAACAAAGTTTATAAACGAATTCGTTTAGCAATTTTTTCCTCTCCATATACATACCTATGTACATATACATATATATTTTCATAAAATTTTTTCCGCTTCTACTATTGATAATTGGCTCTGTAAACAAATCAGTTATTAATTAATATTTGCTTTCGATTCCCTCATTAGTTGTGGGTGAAATGCGTTGAGCTGCAATGGCTGTAATAAACATGCGAGCAACAGATAGAGATAGTGAGAGTGAAGGAGAGAGAGAGAGGGGGAGAGTAACTGTGTGTATTTGATTATCTAGTTAAGCTCGCAAAGATAACACTTTTGACTCTAGTTGAGTTCATCCATATGCTTTGCTTGGCCTGTTCTGGCTTTTGGCCTTAACCATCATTGTTTTTTTTTTTCTGATTTGGCTACACCCAGCAATTTGCTAATCGCCGAGCAGCGGCAGAGCAAATGACGTCGTTGCATTACGTAGCTGTGGAGTCTATTGCCATCTTGGGGGCTTAATAGACTCCTCGGCATAGCTGACAGCTCTCTAGTTTCAAGGTTTTGCCGCCCTTCCCTTCGCGCTGCTGTTGCAGTTTAGCTGAATGACGTGCCCCAGGCAGCAGACCAAGAACGTGTGGAGCACCACAAAAAAATAAACATGCATATACATAAATATATATATAAATATGTGTATACAAACAAGAACAAATTAAATACAATAAAATAAAAAGTTAAAAAAAAAAAAATGGTTAGGGAAAGAATTAAATGCGGAAAAAACTGGTAATAAATATAATAAGCGCGTAATTATCGCGTAAATGTCAATTTAAGCGGCGAACGCGTTGCGTCAGTGCTAATTTTCAACGCTAGAGTGAATAGACCGGCCGGTCTACAGATGCGAGCAGCTCCCCCTCGGTCTCCGCCCCCAGCTTCCCACCTGCTGCCGTCGCAGCCGCCGCCTCCTGCTGCAGCACTCGGCGTTTGTTGCTTAATGAAAGCGTGTAAGCGCCAATTGGCCAGGCATGTTGTTTGTTGCTGTAATTGCCATGATTAACAATAACAGCAACAGCAACAACAACAACAGCAACAACAGCTGCTGCTTGACTGCTGCCATTGTTATTCTTTATTGCAAAAGCAAACAATATGAGAAAATTGCAGCGCGCGAAGAAAAAATACTATAAAAATAATGCACAAACAAGTTTACCGTTACCAACAACAATAACCGCAACGAGGGCAACAATGACGCACCGAATGTTGCATGCAACTCGAGTGACTCGAGCAACTCGAGTGACTTTTCAAATGTAGAACTTTTGGAATTCGGCCGAAAACAAAAGGCAACATAAAAAAAAAAAAAATGCACACACACACACATACACTAAATTGGGCGCACGGCCAAAAAGGTTTATAGCCAATTACTATTATTATGATTTTTCATATAGAAATTTCATTTTCATTTTCATTTTATATTATTTCTCTCTATTTCCCTCTTTCTGCTGTTTAATGCTGCATGAATATCACAAGTCATTGAAATCATTGAAATTATTCGAAATTAAATGTTGAGCAACTGCAATTTGTTTGTTTATGTTGAGAACTTGCACAGCAATTGCATGCAACAGCTTTGAAAGCTCATTAAAGATGCATTTACAAGGGAGGTCCAAAAATTGAAAGTGAAAATGTATGTCGAAGCTTTGCTTTAGCTAAAAGTTTAATTAGTTAAAGTAGTTTCAATTTAAATTTAAAAGTTAATCCAAAAGCTCTCTATAAAGTATGTGTTTTAAAGCGACATGCAGTTCTTTTTTATCTTATTTATGCATGGCTGATCTGTCAGTTGGATCTGGGCTTTCGTAGCAAAGCTCTGAAAGCACATTAAAGCAATAGGCAAAGCCTTTCGTCACATTTGGCAGATAATTCTTTATTATTTTATGTGTTAATAAAAATCAAAATATGAGTCTTTAATTAGTCTAGAATCTTTGAGCTTCTCTAGTTAAATTTGAGATATGTTTTCATGTGG